GAGCCAGGAGAGCGGTACCCCTACTTGGCGCCTGTTCCAAGCTGGGACCATGCATCCGAGTGAAGTATAGCACATCTACAGTCATTATCACCGAAGCTAGTCGTCCCGTGCTAGCCGCATGTGAGTTTCAGCGCACCGCCAGCCCCTGTCCCACTACTCATTGAACGACCGAAGCCGTAATGATGAAAAATGGGCTGGCGCTGCGCCGAACCCATGCATGCCCCGCTGACACGCCCCGACTGTCTTCAGTGATAACGACTGAACGTGTCCTAAACCACACCTCAACTATCTGGTTCATTCCCAATATTGTAAACCAACTACTGAACTGCTGATCACGTCGTATACCCAAAGAGTTACCGTCCTCTAGTTGAAAGTCAGGCTCTGGCCGACATCAAGTATTCAAAGGTGTCACATTCATAGATGTGTCAAGCACTTCTTTCATGAATAAATCTTCAGTGAACCTTGGTATGTACAGTAAAGTGGCTTATGAGGAACGAGACGCAAATAACATCTATGAGTGGATTTTCAGGTCTTATTAGAGGATGAGCAAGTGTCTTCCGTAGACGGCAGAGGCGATAGCGATGGCTGAGGCGATTTGAAAGCACATCTCACGTTTAATGATAAGAATCAATGATTTATGTGGGTTGCCATGGATAACCTTGGACCAGCTTGTAGGTCTTAGAATTTCGGGGCTGTCAGGGCGCGAAAATGCCCCATTAGCCCCACAGAGCTTGTAACTCCGCCCCATGCAGTGTCCTTCATCTCTCTCGTTTACGTGCTCTCTCGCTGCTCTTGTCTGGTCTCTCGCTCGATCTTAACAACTACTTCACCTCTCACCTAAAAAAGTGAGGCCCTTATTTGAGGCGTTTCTGCACCTGTGCTTCAAGGAAGCTGTCCGCCAGCTTAGGAATTCGTAGGCTCGGCGCGAAAAAACAAACCAACAGCCCAGTGAACGCATTCGTTAAGACCCGTCCATCCCCATACTGTAAGAACCTATGGCATATCATGCCACCCTATCGGTAAGTCAGTTAACGTTTATAAATTGCTGAACTGAACTTTTGTTAGTATTTTGTATATTTTCTGTATTACCGTTCTCGTCGAGCAATAAATCGGGCAAATCCAAAATCGGCCAGTTTAGCGTCACCGTTGGCGTCAATGAGAATGTTCTCGAGTTTGATGTCTCTGGAAAGAAGACGAATCGCAAGGATTTTTCAGGATAGACCTATCTCACCGGTGGACGATATTTCGTTCGTGCAGGTAATGGACAGCTTCCATGAGTTGACGAAACATGCGCACTCCTTGTGGAACTTCTGAATAGATGACTTCTTGAACTCAAATTTAGAGAGAGATGTGTCTGCTTTGAGGTTAGACTGCTCTGAAGTTCAACCATGGCACACTCCATATCCAAGAAATGAAGTGGGCGTGGCTGCGTACTTTATTTGAACATGCACGTAAAAGTCCTTCCTCGCTCTGGATAACTCGATTCGATACAGCTGCTCATTCCTGTATTGAACTGCGGACATAGGCACATATACATTCGTCCAACTGTTCCTATAACAAAAGACTTCCAGAAGCGCAGCAGCTACCAAGATCAAATGAGGTATGCAGCCACGCCCTCCCCATCTCCGGGGTGCGGAGTGTATACAGTGAACTCCCTCCGAACAGACAAACCGCGATGCGTGTAGCCCTTCAAATCTACTTTGTCCGAGTTGGGCTGACGAAACCTTGTCAGATTCACCTTTCAATCGTTGCTCTCTAAGAAATCAGTTCGGAGTAGCCGTTCTGTTTGGCTAGTTACTCCGAAACGAGCTTACAATTTTTGAGCTGCATGGCGCAAGTACAGAAAGACATCGTGAAAGGTGCGGGTGCCTTACCTGAAAGTTTTGCAATAGATCTACAGAATGGTGATAAATCAGTACAACAAAAACATGCCTTGATCGTGATGTCTAGCTCCCGCGGTAGGAATTTGTCCGCAATTGCAGGCGGCAGCGCTTTCTTCGTTAGATGCATTTCTCACGCTACAGCTACGCGGATAACTGCCAATAAACAGGGACATTAGCGCTGACTTGGTGACTATGGGGTGCGGGTCAGGAGATCCGAGTTGCGGCGTAGAGCCCTATGCGTGGGCCCCCAAGGACCTAATTTGAGTTAACCGAAAATGAGCCGAATAGCGCCGTCCTGCTAGTTTATCGCATTCATCACAACCCGGACCATCTGATCCGCATCTCTGGAACTTACAATTGCGAGAAAGTACGGTAAACGACAGAATGACCGGTGACAGCTATCGGACTCTCGTGAGGGGGAGCGCCGTAAGGACCTCACGTATAACCTAACTTTCGCGAAATAAGAATCTTTGACAAGAAGTGTACATGACACAGTGCCTGACTGCGGAAGTAACGTGTTCGTGGAGGCGACACGCTAGACCGAATGCTCACAAGCCATAATCGCTTGATGATAGTTAGTAAATGAACTCCATCTACCTCAGGCTGTTAGCATTGATAAGGAACTTACCTGATGAAAAACAAGCAGTCATACAAGAACGATTTTGTCAAAATGATACGAAGCACTTTCCAGTTGTGATCGATTACAATCTTGTTAACAGCGATCGCTGGGCGGGGGAGGGGGGGGACGCTGGACTGGCGATGGGCCAGTCGGTTTTCCATCAACCGCGGTCGCCTTTCGGCTTCCACAAGAGCGGAGAAAGGGCTGACGCCGTGACAAACCTAGCCTCCTGCCACGCCCCATCTATTCGCCCAGCAATAAAGACTGCTGGATCTCGAAATTGTACAAGGGGGGGGGGCAAAAAAAGTCACTTCGACCGAGTCACATATCAGCAAAGTTTTCGCTGCCCAGACAGAGGACGTGGATACGAGTACCAGGGAAGATACCCAAGATGTTCCTCTATAAGCAGGAGCTGGCTCTCGCCCATCACCTTCATGTACACCAAAATATGAAGTCATCTCCAGTCGCAGCCTGACTGGAGAAGACCTTTGGAATTCATGTCACCTCCAAACAGCTGCGAAACTTCTTGTGTGGAGTCACCCATGGATAGCTACCTGGAGACCAGTACTCTTTGATATCTGGAAGAGTAGCAATATCGAGCAGCTCCGACAACGTCGCTACGGTCTAGCATCATCTTCACCACAGTCGCCAAGAGCGCGGTTCTTGGTGGTATGCGACCGAAGTTCCTGGCAATGTAAGGACCGAATATCTTTCTTGTGGGCCCTCGCACAGGCAAGTGCAAGCGCTGACGCTTACATCGACCAACTCGAGAAGAATATCCTGCCATCATTTCGTCCCCTGTACCATCTTGCAAACTTGGTACTGCTACAGGATTGGGTGCCAGCACGTGGAATCAAAGGGTGTTGAAAAAACCCTCGCCTACTTGGAATAGAGGGGGGCTGAGTACCTAAAGAAGATGGAATAATCTAAATAGGTCACCTGACCTGAATCCCTCAATTACCCGGTTCGGGCGGAGTTCAATAGGGTGGTCTACGGTGGCGGAGAAATCGACTATCTCGCTGATCTCAGGCACCACATCGCGGTCGCGTGCCAGAATCTCTCGATGGCGCTCGTCTTCTTTAGAAGAGCTGTAGGCGGAGTCATTCCATAAAGGATAAAGATCTATTTCAAGTATGTAGCGTAAAATGTCCGCGTCAGAATTCAAAAAGTGTAACTTAATAGCGCCTTCCGAAACGTCAAGACGGAGAAAGTGGTTTTTACCCACCCCCCCCCTGTTAGTCTTGACTGCTCAGCTGAAAGCGATACCTTGTAAACCCCTACCCCTTACAAGGGAATGGTTTGAACTTCCCATGGAACTTTGAATGGAGACCTAGGTACATCGATAGAGTTCGAATGCTGATTACGAATATGCAGATTAAAAGTGCTACGGGGACCTCCCAGACGAGATCTGGGTGGTCAAAGTTTGCGAAAAGTCAGTTTTGGCTCGTAAGCGCTGCTGATCGATGTCCTCGGCCAGTGCACGTCGCCTCGTGGTCTCGCTTTTCATTGTCAAACGCACGTGGATTGCATCCGCATAGGCGCGAAAGTTTTTGCTCGCCGCCAAGTAAGAGCTGTAACTTATGTTGTCGAAATTCTTCCGAGTGTACGCGCCCAGCAGGCGCAAGCAGATCAAGTACTATCAAGCTTAGGTGACGCTGCCTCCATCTAGTATGGATTTGGTCATATCTGCCCTCCCTGAACATATATTACTCATCCCAATCCAAAGTTTTGGCGAGAAACTCGTTGATGGGAGATTTCGACCCTCTGAACACGAATATCACATCCTTCGACGAAAGAACGCTCTTCTGGCCAAATTGTGATTCTGGGCAAAACTTTGAATTTGTCGGTAATATGTTCAGAGAGAGCAGATATGCCAAAATCCATACTAGACCGAGTACGTCATATACTTGATCTACTTGCCCTGCTGGTCCGTAAACTCGGAAGAATTTTTGAAAAAATCAGAGTTAAAGCTCTTATAGGAAGCGAAGCAAAAATTCTTCGCGCCAACCGGATGCAAACCCGCATGCGTTTGACTTGAAAGCGAGACCATTACCACGAGGCCACGGTGGCACTGCCGAGGCATCGATGAAGCAACAACTGACGCAGCCCAAGACTTTTTCGCAAACTCTTGCACCACCCAAGATCTCATCTAGGCAGGTCCATAGCACTTTTAATCTGCATATTCGTAATCAGCATTCGAAGCTCTATCGATGTACCTAGGTCTCCATTCAAAGTCCATGGGAAGTTCAAACCATTCCCTTGTTAGAGCATGGCGCACGGATTCCAAAGAAGCTCAATTTGTTTATCTGTAAAACGAGGGTACATCATCGTTGTGCACGAGGACTTACTTGGTCCCGAGGAACTTATTTGCGATCTTTGATTTTTTTTCTCCGCTCTGGGAAAAGCTGGAACGATGCTGAGTTGCAAGGCAGGCTGTTGGTGAAACAGAGGGGTTCTCATGATGATTTTTCCCTTTTCATGAACGCAGCAAAATTTCGGAAACATCTGGTAAGGTCACACTCACGGTGTGAGCGGGATTCGTACCAAGGCCATACTTCTTTTTGAGGGGGAGGGGGGAGGGTCGTACTGACACCGCCATTTTACACACCCTGATGACGTACTGTGATCCCAGAGGGCGCTTGGACAGCTGCCTTTCAGTACCCAAGCAATAGTTCGCACTATACGATGATGTGCCCTGTTCTCAACGGACAACGGAAAATTACGCAGTTGCTTCAGATTCATGCAAATACTGCAGCTTTCTGAGGCGATGGACGACTTAGTCAAGACGATGCTCCTGAAGCAAAGCTAAGAGTGTAGAGGCTGAATTTTTAAAGGCCTTCAAGAGGCGGAACAGTTCTAAAACCATTTACTTCTGCTAGTTTAAAATTTTTTAAAAACAATTTTTCCGTGAACCGCAAGGAGAGGGGTAATACTGATGCACAATAATTTTTACTTTTTGATCTTCCGAGTATCGAGAGATCACAGTTCTCACACGAACTTATAGGTATAAAGTACAACAACGTGGAATCTTTTGCACAACTGGTTAATTTAGTAGGGTTTGTTGATTCAATGACGGGCCATGCAGCATACGGACACGACCTCGTCGTGTATAACCACAGCTATGTAAACACCAAAGGCGAAACAATGTGTACATGAAACTGAAGAAAAACAAGGTTATCTCTCTAATACATATCAAAATCGTCCATGATTTCATCAGCCAACGCCAACTCTTCCTCTTCACGTCGCCTTTGCTCTTCCTCCATGGCTTTCCTTCGAGCTAACTCCGCTGATTCCATCAAATCAATTTCAGCATCATTAGGGGTGTCACCATGTGCAAGTGGCGTTGTTGCTGAAGTTGATGACGACTTCTCAGCATGTCTTCCTTCATGAGGTTTGGCCTGAAATACTCCAAAGCGTGCATTTGCATCCGAGTGAGGAGACCTGTGGACAAACGAAATGAGGAACCTTTCGAGAATGTCGACTCAAGCGGATCATAGTAGTTTTCATCATCACTGTCATCCCTTCCAGATCGAGCATCATCTTCATTATTCTCTGTTTGTATAATCTAAAGTAGAAAACACTATGGGAAAACTTGGAGAAGAGTTCTGAAAAAATTATTGGAAAATTATCAAAGTTAGTGGAGCTAATTTGAGCACTACTAGGAAAACAATTTCAGGACAAAACTTACATCATCGCCTTTTTGTCGTCGAATTGGTGCAAAGTCCTCGTCGGTGAGAGGCATTCCAAGTCGAGATTTCATCATGTAAACCTTTAACAAAGGCAATAAAATTTGCGGAGTTACTGTAACGTACCGACCATTTGTTCCCACGAACCACTTGACCTGCTTACACAAGGCGTTTTTTTTAACGTGAAAGCTTACATCTTTCCACAGATTCATTTCTTTTTTAACCAGATTTAACACCCTGTATCTGGAAAGGAGTGGGCGTGGCTGCCTACTTCACTGGGACATCAGCTGAAGAGAGAATGACGATGTACCAAATGAAAAAAGCCCAGGGAATTACGAATCCCGCGCCAACCACATGAGGCTGTTTTTTTTTTTTTTTTTTTTCTCCCGAGCACAGTAATGCCGTCCGGACGCGCTGACTTTTGGCTGCGAGCTCATTTATCAAGTGCCTAGATCACCAAATCTGCTGAAAGTCGCAGATAGGAATTATTTAACATCCTGATGCAAATTATTGACTCTTTTGGCGCTGCCATGATGGGAAGGCACTCCGATGTCCTTCCGGCGCTCAGCCTTAGCATTGCGTCGCGATGATCGTAATGTCCCCATTAGCGCCAGCGCCAAGAATGAATGTAATATTGTAATCAGGATGTTAAATAACCCCTGTACACAAGTTTTCTGCGGATCAGGTATTCTAGGCACTTTATAAATGAGCCCGCAGCCAAAAGTCAGCGCGTCCGAACGCATCCAGCTTCCGGGCACGTTCCTCGCCTACCTATGCATAGGGTTAACGTGCCACCACGGAGCCCGTGTTTTAACAGTAAATAAATGTCAACTGACAGGGTGCGTCAAGGAGGCTGAAACGCAGCAGCGGCCACATATTTTAGGCGGCGTTCATACTTTGCGACTAGGAATTTCGGCGATTTGGGAACTCGGAGTTCGATGTAACAGATGTAACAACGTAAAGAGATGTAGCTGTCGATCCCGCAATTTGAAAGAGTCGGGGAACCGACGCTACATTGCCGAATCTCGCCAATCGCTAGCAAACGGTGCTGATCCATACCCATCCGCCTACTTGGCGCGCGATCGCCCGAAACGCCGGGTCTCGAAATCACGGAACCGCCCTATCTTCCAAAACGCCGAATCGCCGATTCTCCCCAATATCGAGACCGATACCTATACTTTCCTCGTCGCGCAGCCTCTCGAGTCGCCCATTCCTGTCATTCACAGTATGAACGGGCCGGCCTCATCGATTTGTGATGGTCCGGCCCTCAATCATGGGTAGAAAATACGGTCGCCGCTAGACTCCAGTTTAGCCTCCCTGACAAGTCTGATCGCTCGCCGTATTCTATATTCGCACTGCAAGTATAATGCAGTTGCGCCATACTCGCAGTTGCAGAAGAAAAAAAACTAATGGAGGCAAACCTTAATAGCTCGTTTATCGCCCAGAGCTTCACATTTGCTGATGACATCCTCGAATTTCAGCTTGGGAAACATTACATGAGCCCAGTGTTGGTATTTTTTCATCATCACAGCGAGATTCTCATACTAAAAAAACATCGAATGAATGCGGTCTCAGTTGAGTACTCTTAAAAAACTATAGCACCGGGTCCTTCTTAGTGTTCGGTTTGAAGCTCTTGAAAGACTCCAGGAGGGCCGGGACTCCCTTCGGGCCTGTAAGGGTGGCCTCGTTTAGTTTTGGCTGTGGTCTAGAATCAAGCCATTTCACAGTGTGAATTTCACAAAAGATAGTCAAATATGCCTACCGGGCTTTCGCACGCTTTTTCACAACTTCTTGATTTTCTTTTTCCAAGAGGTTATTTAACACTTGATCACTTGTAGGTTCTGAAACGGCATGGAATTAGCCACTCATTTCATTCGACTCGAAACATAATGGTCTCAGCAAAATCGAAGGAAAAGGCTAAGGAAATACCTTAATGACTTTAAAAAATGAAATCATCACAAGAAAAATTTCACCTGCGCCGTCTTCATCCGGCTCGTTATCAGACAAGTCGTTACCGAAGAAATCGTTGATCTCATCAAACTCGTCGTCCATATTTCTTAACTTTGAATGTAAATGAGATCAAAATTTTAGCGCATACAACTTATTAGTAGAACACAAATCAAGAAATAATTGTTCGCGCCTTTTTTACCGGCCAAAGGGCTAATTCACCGTGGTCCACATTATTGTTGCCTCCTTCGGCGGAAAGGTTCTGTTTATGGTTCTCTTCTTTTCCTTTTCTCTTCATACTTCTCCCGGCCTTCTATTGCCTTCTTTTGACAATCAAGGTGTGGGAGTAGAATCAACCAAATTTTTTCACTGTTACGGGGATAATCAAGTCCTTTGTCTTGGAAGAAGACTGTTTTATCAGTTCAGTCCTGCAAATCAATTTTTCTGATGAGAACGAGAATTCTTGGAAAGAGTGTTTCATGACCAGTTCTCAATAGCATTTCATTCATCAGGCAATTGCAGAACTATGAAGAGAGTTGAATCACTGAAAAGTGACGAAAAGTACGAAGCAAGTGAGCACGGTTTTCCCCAATCCAAGCGCTATTTTCAGGCGTTAGTGCTTATTTTCAATACTCAACCGTGTTTTGATTGTCCTTTTTGCAATGATTACCTTAAAGGATGATTCTGTAATGGTATCGATTCACCCTAGGAGATTATAGGTCGTGACAAGTCGCGCGACGTAAAATCGTAAAAATGACCCCATTAATCCGAAACTTTTCATTTCATTTGCAAAATGTTTGTATTGAATTGCTTGGGTAGTAGTTTCAATGATCATTTGCCGATTGTTCTTTAGTTTTTGCATAAGGGTTG